GGGGATGCTGGCTTCGCGGCGGTGAGAGCGAGCGAGAGCGAGAGCCAGCCAGGGGCGGAAGACGGACTGTTGGGATCTGGCTGCTGTGTGGGCTCCATCTCTTTCTGGCGTCTCTCGCGCGCTTTCCCCCCTGTATTTTGTTCTTGGCTTGCATATTTAACATCTCCGGACTCCATCCTCCCCCCACCACTGAAGTCTTCCCGTCTCTAAATGGAATTAGTGGAGATCGGAGCCTCTGGTGTAAGGAACAGACATGATCTATGGACGCAGTTTGTTTCACAGTGAGTACCTTTCCCGCCGCTCGGCCGGCTCCCCGTGCCATTCCTCCCCTCCCCTCCTCCCCGCCAAACGCGCAGGGGAAAAGCCCAGCCACCGCGCTCCGCTCCAGCTGGACCCCGCAGTCCCAGTGAGTCTTGGGGCAGATGTAAACTTTCTGTATTGCAGCATCATAGAGCCGGGAGTGGGGGCGGCGCACAGTCAGGCCAGGAAAGACAGGCTCTCCTAGGGCAGGAACCTCGGGGTCCAGAACCTCCGGGGTGCAGTTCAGAGAAGGGCACGTGCGCAGCGGCTGCAGCCCCGGAGAGAGCGCAGGTGGAAATAGCCAGGGAGCAGGGTTTATACTTGATGGGACCAGAAGAAATACTCCTCTGCCTGGGGCTTCCGCAGCCCAGACTCCCAGTCCCATGGGCAATCTAAGGCTCTGGAACCCAAGGCTTGGGGCGAATGCCAACTTCCACTCTCTTCTGTCCAGTAGACCTAACGCTGCTTTAGAGAGTGGTGAAGCATGCAGTGTGGGGTGGGAGGAAGTGGAGGAAAATGGCATCAAAAGTCGTTAGGCAGGAGGCAAGGTAAAATATGTGGTGGCAATTTCACATTATAAAGCAGGGATATTAGAGTGTTAATCCTGTGCCACGCAGTTAAGACTAGCTTTTCCCTTTCAAACATAGTATGCGTTCAATAGTGTGATTCCATGAAAACACCGAAAGCAGAGTAAGGAAAATACCAGATGTACACCCTGAAATTGTGGATAGTTGCCTCTGTAGTGTGTGTGTGTGTGTGTGTGTGTGTGTGTGTGTGTGTGTGTGTGTATGCAGAATCATGGCGAACTAAGGTGACTTTTGCGACTTAAATACACAAAACAATGAACACGACAAAAGCAACCACCAATGTTTTTATACAGAGTAAAGATGATCTCGTTAGAATATAAAGTAATACAGTTGACACCTTCTTGAATATTATATCAGGGCCCAGATGATTTTCTTGGATTAATATTCAGGCATAAATTCCTAAGCTCCTGTACTGAATTTTATTTTAGGATATTATTATGAATTATACTCTTTCTCCCTAAATTCATTTTAAGTGGAAATATGAGCATGTAGACCTTTTATCTAATTCAGCATCAAAATAAATAAAAAGAAATTAGTAAAGAAAAATTAGAAGTTGTGACTACTAGATGGCTTTAATATCTTGTAAGTTTTAGGGTTTTTTTTTAAACATTGAGCAAATCAAGAGTATAGAAGCAAATCAAGAGTATAGAAGTTTGGGTTATAATACTATTGCAGATTTACAGTTAAATTACAGACCAGTGTCTCTGATCCAGAACAAATGACTTAATAAAATACACAGATAATAAATTTCATAGCCCCCAAAAGTGCTTGGGACAGGGATACTTGGTGATTCTGTACATTTTTTGTGAGACCTTTTTATAATACTGCTTAATACCTCCAATCCACACTCATCTGTTTGGCTTGATCTTCCTCCCCCCTTGCCCATTGGATTAAGGAAGTGTTTATGTTCTAGAATGCAGCCACATTGGCAGTGTGTTAAGATCAACCATGGAACTCTTCCTCTTGTTTGTCTCTTTTCTCCTTTTACATGCTGTCCCTGTCTCTTCCCTTAGACATGCTAGCAAAACCCTTCAAAAAGGGTAATTTAATAACAGCCTAGATCTTGAAATCTCACTATAACTTGTGTGATAATAGTGGAATATAATGTTACCTCTTAATATTGAAATATGCTCTGGCCTTAGGAGCTTGGGTCTCATCCATTCTAAGTATGCATTACTTCCTTTAGGTATTCCCAAGTTTTTCCTCTGCACATTCTAAATTGGTTTTTGCAAGTTCTGAATCAACTGATAACAGTTAATAATATAAAACTCTCTACTTTGGTATTCTTTTATCTTTAATTGTTGTTTTATGCTCTTATGAGATTTGGTCATTTCAGAGTATATGATCTCTTTCTATTTTCTCTTTCTGTTGCAGTTGCAGCAAGTTTAATCATCCTCCATTTGTCTGGGGCAACCAAGAAAGGAACAGGTATGTTTCCTTGAAAAAATGCTAGTGGAAGAACTCTAGTTATTTGCATTTTCCTGTATTCCCCATTCTCTTAATATTCCAGAATATCTGAACATTTTATAGTGTGTATAATTGATTGGTTTTAGCTAAGAGAGCATTTCAAAATTAATTTGCTAATGGATATTATAAGAATGTCCTCTCTATTTTTAGTATTATAAAAACTGGATGATGGCTTTATTTATTTATTTATTTATTTAACAGAAAAACAAACCACCTCAGAAACACAGAAGTCAGTGCAGTGTGGAACGTGGACAAAACATGCAGAGGGAGGTGTCTTCACCTCTCCCAACTACCCCAGCAAGTACCCCCCGGACCGAGAATGCATCTATATCATAGAAGGTAAGGACAGGGCCAGAGCCGGGGAGCACAAACACAGAACCTGGCCTTCTCTGGGTTTTGGATGGGCAATATGCACATAGACATTACAAAAATTGATTTTGTAGATGGTAGAAATAAATATCTCTGAGTGAAGCAACTGCAAATCTGGAATAAGGCTAATTACTGAAGTTATTAGCAGTGGGTTATGAACAAGCAAATTCTGTTAAATAAAAACAAGTTAACAATCTAAGAGCCTATTTTCAGCTGATTGAATTGGTTTAGAATTCCAAAGTAACAGACTGGATTGTAGTTGGTGTAGTGTTACCTAATGTGTAATATTTTTGAAAAACTGGTATTTTTTTAAGTTAATAGTTATTAGAATGACCTATGCATTCATTATTTTCTTATTTGAGGCATAAAACAACACAAATATATTGAAGTCAAAGATGTATTTATACTCATGTTTTATAAACACTAATCTGAATGGCAATTACCTTATTTTGTGCTACCAATTGACATTACATTTTTAAGTGAAAGTCAGAGTTTTAATTTATGAAGATTTCTTTCACTAGCTTGGAGGATAAATAGTACTAAAAAAAGAGACTCACCTCTCTTTGAACTTATTCCATTTCTGCTAACTTTGAGACACTTCTGTGTTAAATATAACTTTTAAAAATATATGAATATTTTATCTAGTGATAAAGTTCATCAATACTTTAAATATCAGTGCCAAAACAGGTAAGACTTATGATACCCCTGCACACACATAGACATGCACAGAGGAAGCTAATTTAGTGAAAAAGGCATATGTGCTTAGCATCAGCATCCAGGTTTAAACTAGGGAGATGCTCATTTGATTGATGTTTCAAAAGAAAAAGGCTCCTGCTTAACTGACTTCAGAATCATTATTTAGATACTATTCTTGCACTCAGGGATGTAGCTCAGTAGTAGTACACCTGTCTAGCCTTCATGAGGCCCTGGGTTCAATCTTCCTTAGCATTGGGAAGGAAAAAAAAAGATGGAAGAAGTAGAATGATTATTTTTTTATTGTAATTTTGAGTTTAGAATATTTTTCTTCCCCTTTCCATGCTTAAAGTAGAACTTTTACCAAATAAGTGGCATCCTACACAAAGGAAAAACAATAAACTCTGATATTAAAGGAATAAAACAAAAAATCTGAGATCTGACAGTTTTGATTGATAGACAAGGAAATTGAATTATGGAGGTTCTGGCCTGGAAATAGTTGTTCTTTTTGTCAAATTACTACCACATATCTATGAACTACCTATGCTACAAATAACATAGATTACAAATTTTGAAGAACTCATCAATACATACATAATAAGAAATATTTTTCTTGTCCTTATTTTACTAATTAAGAAACTAAAGCAGAGAGAGGTTAAATATCCTATGTAATTCACAGAATGATAATTATTTTTGAAACAATATTATTTTAAAATAATAAATAAATTATTAAAAAAATAAAATCACCTTATAATCTCTTATCTCAAAAATTAATTCAGAAACAAATCTTTGCATGTTAATTAATTGCATTTTCATGTTTATTATTGTTTAAAAATAAAAAAAAAACATTGCTAACCTTGATCTTAATACTATGTACAAATTCTCATTCACTTGTAGTTATGTCAAGAACAAAGCTAAGTGAAGAAATGGATACAACCTATTTAACTATTAATATTGCTTCTATCCCAGTAACTCAAGAGGTTGAGGCAAGAGGACTACAAGTTAAAGGCCGCAAGGCCAGCCTGGGTCACAAGGCCAGCCTTGTTTCTTAATGAGACCCTGCCTCAAAATTAAAAAATAATAATAAAAATAAAAATAAATTCAAGATGTAGAGAATTTGCCATGTTCAGGACCCTGAGTTCAACTCCTCTAGTACCTAAACTCTTTCTGAAACATGTTGCATATTATTTAAATAACACTGAACAGCTGCTATTCTAGGTAGAGTATAGAGAGCATTGAAGAATGTCATGCTATTTGCAATAAGATGCTTGCAGTGTGGCCTGAGCACTAAACTCCTTTCACTTAGCAATCTAATAGGGCTAAGAGATTGGTACACAAGATGGTTGGAAGAGGAAGATGAAAGAAAAGCCTGTCAGGAAGAATGCCAAAAACTTTCACTTTTAAGAATATTCAGGAGGTAATCATTCTATACAACATATGCCAATATTCAGAGGTGTGGCAGGTTGGGAGCTCCTTGTGTTCCTGTGAGGGACAGAGACAAAAGAGACCAGAAGAACCTGAATTCCATCTGTCACACTAAGGAAGCTGGACTTTGAGTTGAGACAACAGGTACCATGGAATAATTTATGTAGAAAAGTGATGAACTGAGATTTTTGAAGAAGGAGAAACTAAGAAACTGCTGTAAAGGACCAAGCAAATCCTAGTGAAAACTTGGAACTAAAGAAAGGAACTGGTGATGGAAGAAAGAGAAATATTTAGGAAACAGGATCATGAATGGGTATGGGGTGTGAAAATAGAGAATAGAGAATCCCAGGACCATTCCAAGACACTTTGCTTGGTGATGTATTAGGAAGAGTGTCATGCCAGACAAGAAATGTAGGTGGAAAAGAGAAAAAATAATGTGCTCCATTTTGGCATTTGTGGAGATGCCTTAAGAAGAGATTGGATATATGTATCTTGAGCTCAGTGGAAAGATCTCTGCTGGCAAAGCCTATTTATAGGACACAAGCAAAAAGATTGTTACTGAACTTAGCGATGTGAATAAAATCACCCAAAATATTTGAAGCTTTATGTTTCGACTCCTATAAAATCTGACGATGGCAGGGCCCTGCCTGTGACTCCTGACTCGGCTGGTCTCAAGTGGAGCCCAAGGGTCCTCTGGGGAACACCGGTGGCATCCAGGGCGCTGGCCTGAAATGAGAGTAGAGAAGATGTGGGGTGGTCTTCTGGACATAACAGGGAGGGCACAGGCAGGCAGAGAGAAACCTGGGGGTGGCAAGAGTATCAGGTGAAGGACCTCACGGGGCTGGTGAAGGCGGAGTTTCAAGCAACAAGGAGTCAGTTGCCAGGGAGCCATTTGATACAGCAAGGGACATAAGGTAAAGGCGGAAGGGTATCCTGCAGGAACCAATTAAGAGTGGCCACGGATTTAGGATGTGCTCTCCTTTTGACACCAAGGGTGAGAGACAGTGCATGCAAGAGTAAGGGACCATGTATCTGTGGACAGTGGGATCCGAAAAGTGGAAGACAGGCACTTGCTTGCTGCCGCTCGCACATGCTCTCTCTCTCTTTCTTTCTTTTTCTTTGTCTTTTCTTCTATTAATGGGAAAAATACAACTTCAATTCTAAAACTAATAGCCTATTCTGCAGAAGTAGAGGTATTTTTTTTTTCTTTATGGGGCACTGGGGATTGAACCCAGGGCCTCCCACATGCTAGGCAAGTGCTCTAATCATTGAGCTCCACCCTCAGCCTTTAGTTAATTTTCAACTTAGAGAAAGAATCTCACTATGTTGCCCAGGCTCGCTTTGAAATTGCAATTCTCTTGCCTCAGCCTCCCAAGTAACTGGGAATATTTAAAATACAAGAGAAAGAAGCATAAGCAAGGGGTGAAGTTTCTTGAGGTAAGATGGGTTGTGATAAAGAGTACAGGGGACGTCTCAGACACAGAAATTACATGAGCTCAGGAGTTCAGGTGGTCTTAAATTAGAGGAAATGAACTGTACGTATGTGCACTGTTCCAAATGAAGTGTCCATGGTGCACAGCATGTTCAGAGAGCTCCAGGAGTGTGAGTCTTCTCCAAATCAGCCAGTTTTACATCAAAGGCAGCTCTGAGAAAGTGTGGATGTGAGATGCAGCTGTGAACCGAGCATTTAGAAGGTGAAAATAAATGCATATTTAAGGAGTTGGATGTGGACAGCTGGAATTCGTTTACTTGTGCCATAATCACTCATTTTATAAATCTGCAAGAATTTTCTGGCATACCTGGGGTGGGGGGCAAGGAGGTTCTGGAGATTGAAGCCAGGGAAACTTTACCACTAAAATACATTCTCCAGTATTCTCTTCCTCCCTCCCTCTCTCCCTCCTTCTCTTCCTTCCTTCTTTCCTTCTTTTTTTTTCTGTCTTTTTCAATTTTTAGGCAGAGGATTACAAAGTTACTGAGGGTCTCACTAAGTTTCCCAGGCTGACCTCAAACTTGCCCTCCTCCTGCTTTAACCTCCCAAGTTGCTAAGATTACAGGCATGTGCAACCAACCATGCCTGGCTGGTAGACTCATTTTGTCTTAAAAGGTTATTTAATTATATCCTAAAACTCAGCCAGTGGCATTTTCATATGTGGGTATATATGTAGGTAATTTTAACATGCTGGAAAAAGAAAATCAAATTTTCCACATACAATGTACTCTAATAAAAGCCAGAGTGATGGGGCTGTTTTCTGAAGGAACATGGAGCGGTTTGCTTCTCCATGTTGGACAGAACTTAAGTGACAGTGATGATGGTGAGAATAAATAAGCTTGTGTCAAACAGCCATGTCTTTCCTAATGAGGACGGCAGATGGGTGTGTGTTGCGAGAAGACAGGCAGATAGCTCTGAGTAAGTCAGCCCTGGCTTCTCACGGCTCCGCTTGCCCTAACCCTATGTTATTTACATCTAAGAAAATTATAAGGATCCTGAGTGGTTTAGAGGGGCCAAGGACACCTCTTGGATAAGGCACCAAGATAACACATACAAATGGTGGATGTGGTGCTAAGCGCGTCAACGGGTTCAGTTTCTCAAGCATCTGCCATTTTGCTTTCAGAATATTACTTGGTTTTCAAAACCATTTCTTAGGGTGTTTTCAAATTTGCAGATTTCAAAATATTAATGGACACTCTTCAAATCTTTCATTATCTTGGGTATTATGTCTATGGAACTCTGTGATGTACATTAACGTCAGATAAAATTATGCCTGATTTTTAATGAGTTATAAGCATCTCTTTTAAATGTCTAGTAAGTCAGAGATATTCATAAGGATTAAGAATGATTCACAAAATAATATTTTTACATGATCTGATCTTTTGCCTATTGATTTTTAAATTTGGACTTGGAGGACAGTGAAATTTTATTTTACTGTTCCAGTTATTGCATATCTCAGTTATATACACATTTTTGGCATCCATGAATAGAAGGGCTTAATTTTTAGGTCATCAAGAGTGATAGTGAATACACATTTAATAATCAGTGGATGGTGGACAACTGCCATTCAGCATGGTTTACTGACCACAGGGACAGCACAGCCTGATGCCGTTCAAGCGTTTGGAAGGGCAAGTAGTGAGGAAGTCCTCCTGGGCCCAGGGCAGTGGCTGGTCATGAGCTCCTGGCCATTCCACCAATGAATGGCCACTCTGGAACATTGTGGAGGGTAAAACTGACTTTTAGACTTTTTTGGGCATGACAAGGGGGAAGTGGGAGGCATTGGCAAGTGCGTTCATGTGGAGCTTTATGTGCTCACAGCCCCAAAGGCCTCTCCTGGATCTTTTAGAGAGCTTGAAAACATGTATGAAGTTAAGTTCATTTGTAGTTCAGTCAAAAAGACTTTGTTTTGGAAATCCTCAATGACAGATATTGTGTCATGGTGCAGAAAGAAAGAAGATAGACAAGATATGGTCCTCATATCTCATGAGCAGAATCAAGAGGATTCCATTAAACAAGGCCTCCCTAAAAAAAGATGAATTAAAATTTGAGTCTTTAGATATGCAATAAAGTGGAAAAATACATGTTCACCTGAAAGGTGTGTCATCTGAGAAAACATAACATGTTGGAGGTGTTCTGAGTTCGGGCCGTCTGTGAGTTGATAACCCTTGAAGGAGGGAGTCCTCAAAGCTTCTCCTGTGTCCAGTGCCCTGGGCATTGTCCTGCAGGTGCCAGAGCTGCTGAAGTTTAAGCTGAGGGTGACAGGGTCAGATCTGGGTTCTAGAAAAACTGTCCCTAACAGCCTTGTATGTACACTTGGAGCTAACTAAGATTCCTGCGTGGCTTCTCTTCAGTGCTCCTGTAACTCCATGCTGAGCTCCTCTCAGGTCGTGTCTGACCTTGAACTTGAGTACTGATATGAGAAAAGAAAACAATGCCTCTCTACCTTCTATATCTGAGGTGCCAGCCTTTCTCCCAAATACCATCCTGGTGTGATAGTTCTGTGGTAGACATCGAAATGGTTGTTTTAGATCAAAGTAGTATTTTGTGCAACATCATCAGTTTTGAGGACTACCCCGTCAAACGTTTTTACGAAAATACCCTTTAGAATACTGAGTATCCTCTGATTTCTTTGTATTTCCATGCATATCATCTTCAGAGTTCGATAAAAGATATAACAGTTAAAACCCAAAATAGAATCAGAAAAGTCAATCTAAAAGATTTAAGAAATGCCCTTCTAGATGCAATCTTTCTTTTTTACAGCTGCCCCAAGACAGTGCATTGAACTTTACTTTGATGAGAAATACTCTATTGAACCGTCTTGGGAGTGCAAATTTGATCATATTGAAGTTCGAGATGGACCTTTTGGCTTTTCTCCAATAATTGGCCGTTTTTGTGGACAACAAAATCCACCCGTAATAAAATCCAGTGGAAGATTTCTATGGATTAAATTTTTTGCTGATGGAGAGCTAGAGTCTATAGGATTTTCAGCTCGATACAATTTCACACCTGGTAAGTAGGAGCTTGTTTTTTTCCCTCTATTTATCTATGTGTTTTTCTTTCCTAGTATTCTATCTTCATGGTACAAAACTTTTGTAAGATATTGTAATTTTCCACAGTATATTAGAATTCTATTTTAAACCAAACCTACAATGCTCTCTCTTTTCACTTTATAAATTCTGAAAGGAAAAGAGATTTCCCTCAAACTTAGCCAACCCTGGAGTTAAAGTGAAATGACTCAGAAGTCCAAATGATCACTAATAACACAATTAATTAAATGGACTTATGAAATTTGTAATTTGAGAGGACAGTACATCATAAAGAAGCTATATATATGTGTGTATATATATATATATTCCCAATAAACTTGAAAGGACTATTGTAGTATTATTAAAAATTATTTATTAAAATGATTTTTGGAGAATTTGAATTTTAGAAAGTTAATTTGTTCTAAAAATTACCATTTTCAAAGCAAATAGATCCCATTATAAAGCAGTTCAATGTCTGTTTTAGAAATGTAAATTCCTTAGGGTTTTGATGAAAAGAAAACCGAGGTCCATAGCAGCCAAATATCCACTTTCAATATCTGGCAGACATCATGGGCAATTATAAAATTATGCAGTCTCTGTCAATTTTCCCTTTAGCCTGTTAATATTTTAAACAATCTCAGATGTAGACTGGCTCTCTTCCTGAAGTGTTAGCATCCTTTACAATACAAGTGGGTTATCACGTTTTTAACCTGCAAGAGCACCACACATTCATCACTTGAGTTTGATGAAGTGAAGTTTTTCTTTTAAGTGGAAAATGATTTAAATTATGCACAACATATTATGTGTATATGATTAAAGATTTTTTTCAGCTTATATATTATGTTTCAGTTAGGTTATAATGGACAAAAAAGTACATGTGAAATTTGTTGAAATTACCATGTTACAGAGGTAACATACAAATAGTGTTTTGTTGAATAAAGAATTAAATTTTTTAAAATAATGTAAGGTGATTCATGATAACTTTCATTATGATCTCATAGTATGTTAAATCAGATGATAACTGTATCATGATTCAACCTTCAGCATTAGGATTATTTGATAATATCACTAAGGGATTGTGGTTTTAATTATGCTTTGCTGTTATCGAACCACTCATAGAAATCACAAGTGTTTCACATGCCACATTCAAATGAGCTTGAATTTTTTTCAAAAAATTATGAACATTTTTATGACTCTGTCAAATTGTTAGCCCAAGAGTTCTAAATGGAAATGTGTTTTTTTCTTAGTTGATTATTTGGAGTTACCCTGAACCTAAAGGTAGTAACATGAGGCATGAAATAGCCCTTGTAAGCTGCATTTTCATTCTGGGTTTGGTGATGATGTGGGAGCATGTGTAGGGTATAACACTGGTTTTGTAAAGGCGGGACCAGCCAACCCCTTCATCACCTGGCCACACTGTCCAGGTTGAGCTCCCCTTGACAGACAGACTGCTGGCCCTCTCGCTGCTGGCTCAGGTTGCCAGCAGTCATTTGGGTGCCAAGGCATTGTTCTTTGCTGGGTTTCTTTGGGGCCTTATGCTTCGTCTCTAGCAGGGGAGGATGCTATTGCCAGGAACCTCCAGGAGGTAATCCCAGATAATTAGAGTGAGTCGAGGATGGGCCTATGCTTCTTTTTCATTTAGATAATCTGCACTAAAGCTGGTGGGGAAGCCTGGGCGTAGTCGATGGGGGATGGCAGGACTTTGCAACATGTCCATGACAGAGATGACACTGTAGGGCCCAAGGCCGTGGCCTGAGTGGCTTAACCATGTCCAGCTGGTTCCCCGAAGAGACAATGCAGCAGAAGCCACTTAGCTATTGACCCAGGAAGTGGGCCCGGAGTGGCCATGGCTTAGACAACACTTGAGGAATACACACTCCTCAGGCTTTAGTTGTCCTTTGGCTTCGTTCTTATCTAGTGGTGAGACCTGCGGTGACTAGGGGAGCTTGAGTGGGGAGACTTGCTCAAGCCAACTTAATGACTCAGAGTGTGAAGTAGAGCTGACATCCCCATCACCACTGCGAGAGGCCCTGGTGCGGGAGCCACATCTGGCTTCCTGACCCGGCTTTTTTTTTTAAAATTTCATGCAGTAGCCTTGGACATAATCCCTAATATTTTATCCTTTGATATTTTTAAATTTTGAAATAAAGATAGTATTGATATTCCCACAGGATTGTTTGAAAGATAAGTCGTTCAGTACATGTGAATGAGTTTCTTGAGTATAAGACCTCAACCATTAGCACCTATTAATTTTTTAATTAACTCGATTTTGTGTTCTTTAAAAGGAAAGGAGGTTTGGCATAGGTTATTGAGAGGCAAGCAAGTGTCTTGTAATTTTTTTTTGTTTTCAAGTTAGAACCTCTTGCTCTGTTTCTTGGAGAGTCAGTATGAAAACTAATATTTACATCTTTTCACTTTTTGATAATGTTAATGGACCTAGATATCAAGGTGGGGATTATAGTTATTTCTGATGGCATAAAATAGATCATAAAATATGTAAAGGCAGAAATAACAGCAAAAAGGCCAGGTGGTCTTTATTATTTTCATGAATTTACCACAATCTTTAATCTGAATTTCAAACATAGAATCTCAGAAAGTTGATGTCAGCACATTGAGAGAACATCTCTCTCTTAGGAATGAGTCTCATTTGCCCAGGTAAGAAAATGAACATACATATGTAGTTATATTGTTATAAATATATGCATATGTACTACACATATATACATATACACATCTGTATGCACACACACACAAACACAAACACACACACACACACTTTCAAAGTAAATTTTTAGAATCACACGCCCAATTTTTTCTGCTTGCAAAGATATGTAGCCAGATTATAATCAGATTAAATCATGAGTGTGCAATCCAAAATTTGACACTTAGTTAAATAACAAGCATACTTAAGAGCACTGTGCTAAGGTTCCTGATGCTTTACTTCCATAGCAGGGATTGATTTTTCCAATGGTGCCTTAGGTCTCAGACTCCCCAGAGTTTGTTCCTGACCCATCTCTGGCTTCCGATATGCCTGACTGGCACGTTAATTTCTGTTAACCCTTATCTCCAAATTGTTTCTGTTTTCTAAAATCTGAATCTCTGACTTCCTTTTCTACTGAACTTTAAAATAGTGGTCTTTTTATCCTGGCTCCTGCTGTTCCTATTTTCTGTGATTCTGAATTCCCAGTGACATCTGGGCACCCGCCACCTGGAGGTCATATGTGGACCTCTTAGAGGGTAGGATGGCAGAGCCAGAGAAATACCATGGGCAGTCTTAAAGAAAGCATTTTTGTTTCCCCTGACATATTTTGATGATTCTTTACTCTTTATTTCACTAACGGTTACTTTTTTTATCTGAGTCTTGTCCAGGGCCACGGTGCCATGATGAGTCACCTAGAATCGCAGTCTAGCACGCATAAGGATTGGGAGATTGAGGAGGCAGTCAGCTAGTTCATAGCCTGGGGTCTGCAAAGCACATGAGAGGGCTCACTGAAAACCCAGAGCTCTGGGAGAGGCTCACAGATGGGGACTTCTGGTTTTGTGAGGTCATCTCAGCAAACACCGTCCCAATATCAAGAAGAAGGATAAATGCAGAGTCACTGAAAGTGCCAAAAAGTTACAAGAGGGAAAATTTGATAACTCACATTTGATAATTTGATAATTCAACAAGAAAACAGAAGACCCATGAAAGTGCTCCTTACACACATTGCTCTCTCATATAGTGAGGCCTCATTTTAGAAAGTTTAAATTCAATCTCTCATAAAATAGAAAATAGCTAGAAAATACCTCAAAAGTACTTGATCATACTGCAATCGTGCACACCAAGCTCACAGCAATGGTTGCCCCAGGTAGAGGATGGCAGGAGGTGAGGAAGGAGGAGGACTTTAGGGGCCCAGTGAACATACAGTAAAAATAGACTCAGGTTTCATGATAATAATAATGCTTGCATTTTTGAAAGAATTTTTTATTTTTGGTATTACTTGTTTTAATTAATTATCTAAGAGCAAAGGTTTTCAAAAGAGAAAGTACTATAGTTGATGATTTCAACGTGAATACTTAAAAAGGAGAATATGTTTCTCCATATTCCACATTTTCTTATTCAACCTAACAGTGCATTCTGAGAATAATTTTCCCACAGCCAACTGCCTTCTTTCCTCAATTTTCTTTGCCACTAGGAAACATAATCTAAGAAGAAAACATGGCCTATGTTCTCTCTACCTGCGGGTCCAGTGGCATCATGTGGGGGCTTTATGGTCAGCAGTAAGGCACACACCCAGGGTGCTCTCTTTGGGGACAGGGGATGGGTGGTGACCTTCCCAACCTTTTTTGTAACAGATGTCTTTTGTTAGCCTTTTATTTTCTAATGAAGAGATTTTCGGCTATTTACAGACACGGAATGGGAAATTTATGGAGTGGGACATTTTTGGAATCTTCCGCTTTTGATGGTATTCTTTTCTGTACTATTTTTATGAAACAAAGTTACACACATCCTACTGGTTAAATTTCACTTAAGGACTAGGGCTCAAAGTACCAAATAGGTGAGGCTGAGTCAGGCACTGGCATTGAAGTGAGTGGAGTTGTTAAATATATAGAAATTATTATGATACTTTGTACTTAAATAGCAGCTTTCATCGGAGGCACTCAAAGTCTTTTAGGGACATTCGAGCCAATTCCTGGCCTTCGCTCCTACCGCATGCCGATGGACTTCAAAGGCAATGGAAGAGTACGCGGTGGTGTGGGGATTTAAATTGAGCATTTTAAAAAGATTTCTATGCAAAGTAGAGGAAATATATTATTTAGGTAAAATGTTATCATGGATTTGATGTTTTTTTAATTATTCAGAGCAGCTGTGTGGCTCTCTGTCACAGAGATGTGATGCCATTTTGAAAGTATCTCAATTTTCTTACCTAGGCATTCAAAGTTCTGACATCCTTTCTGGTGACAAAGACAGAAAAAAACATCTAGTTATTGATTATTTTTTCA